GTTCCAGGCCAGTTTGAATTGGGCTTGGAGTAACCTGGGCTAGTGGGAGATGTCCCTGCCCATGGCAGGGGGTGGAACAATATGAGCTTTAAGGTCCTTCCAACCCACACCAGTCTGGGGTTCTATGAAAACCACCCTGCATGCACAAAACTCCACCCAGGCCACAGGACACAGCCCCTGGACATACACTTCCTCCAACACCCCAAGAGCAGCACAGTTCAGTCCAGAGCTTTAAGCCATGCCAGGACTTTCCTATGCAAACGAGAATCTTTTCACAAACGAACTCTGCTGCTCAGCATGCTGTGGCACTGCTGCCCTCCCCCAGCCAGAGCTGCTGTCACCAAGGAGTGTTAAAAAGGCAGCACTTAGCACCTTGTCTGCAGTGACAGGAGAAGGGACCAGTGTGCTGTCTGCAGTCTGCAGTGTCAAAACACTTCAGCAGCATTGGCAGAAGAGGATGTTCCCACCAAGATTGCCCAAATCAGGCCCAGCACAGCTCCAGAGGCTGGAGGTGAAGCCATGGTGCTGGGCAGCCAGGACTGAGGGGCACTGGCAGCACAGCAGGATTACATCTGCTGCATGATGTGCTAAGAGTCACTGGGAGGGAAAACTACTCCTTGTGCAGCAGGGCCAGAGCTGTTTGCTCCTCCCAGAGCTCCCCCAGAACAAGCCATGCACCACCACCCTTTAAATAGCTGTTGGAAATCACCCTGACCCCAACTCACAGCCACTGGGAGCAACAGCCACTCCAAAATCTGTACACAAAAACATGCAGTGGGAATTCAGTAAGACACAGTAAAGGAATTCCTATGGTATCCAAAAGGGAACAACAATTCCAGATAAGTTGGACCCTGCTGGAGGTGTTGCCAAAGTCAACTGAGCACAAGCATGCCCAAATTTTGCCTAGCTGTGGATTCCAGTTTGGCTGGAGCCAGGAGACACTTCCCAGGAAGCTAGGGCTGAGCTCAGCAGTGAGGAGGTGTTGCTGGTGTCACCCCAGTACTCCAGCCTGTGCTGCTGCAGAATTCAGACTGACCCTGGAGAGACAATCTTACAGCAAATGGTGCAAAAGCTGAAGGTTGTAGGGGTTCATCCTCACAAAAAAAAAAAAAAACCCTCAGCAACTCCAACCCCACCCTTAATGAACCCCCATTGTTATTCCACTCAAGACATGCAGCCATGTGTCTATTTAAGGCAGCTGCAGTTCGCCTTGTCTGCAGCACATTGCTGGAGCTCTTTAGTTGCTAAATTTACACACAGTTTGTTACTGGGATTCATCAAAAAAAGTCTGTGGCAAGGCCCACAGCCTTGGCAGGAGCCAGACTGACACCACCTGCCATGAGAGCAAAAGGAAGGCACTGGATTCCTCCACTACATGCTCCTGTTTTCCACAGGAATGGCTGAGCAACCCAGAGCACAGGACTGTTAGCTTTTGGGGTATTTTCAAGCCAGCAGGGCTGTTACAATGAGGTGTTGGGGCTAAGCCCAGGGTTTATGAGGAGATAAAAACACCTGGTGCTCTCCTACAGCCCCAGGAGCAGCCCCAGGAGATGAGCAGTCACCTCTCTAGAGGGAAAGCTGTGCCAGGACTGAGGGGCTGCACCAGTTCAGCCAGGAAACTGACCTCAGTCTCTCCTCTGGCTCTGAAGGCAGATGAATTCTGATCATTCTGTGCTCAGCCATGGCTCCCAAGCCACAGTTAATCATTAAATTTTCCCAAGAATGGACTTGTAGACCAGTCTGTGGGAGTTGATCCCCTAAAAAATTACTGAAGTTCTGTATCATAGAATCATGGGACAGTTTGGGTTGGAAGGACCTTAAAGCCCATCTCGTTCCACCCCTGCCCTGGGCAGGGACACCTTCCACTAGCCCAGATTGCTCCAAGCCCCATCCAACCTGGCCTGGAGCACTTCCAGGGATGGGATATTTCCCATGGGACCATTTCCCAGTGCCAAGGTGTCAATAGCATCTATAGGAGAAATGTGATCTGTGATCTCAGAGACATTCAAGGCAGGTGGTGATTAATTAATTACCACTGGCTTTACCAGACCCTTTATCACTAGCTATGCTCTGGTCCATGCTCCCAAATCCCTGCTGTTTAGAGAGAGAGATCCATGGAGAGGGAGAGTTCCCGTGTGTGAGGCAGTTCCCAGGGAGGGAAGGCAACAGGGGAGAAAACAACAGGTGATCTCACTTCAGGATGTCAGTGCCTTGAGCAACAGGACAATGGTGGGCCCCGAGGGTCTGTTGGGAAGCAGCCCACTGCGCCAACGTGGACGGGGCACTCTGGATAAGGGGGCAAAGCATCTCGGGAGAGGAAGGAACGCTGAGAATCAGAGAGGAAAGGCAGGAATGAAAATATGCATGTACAAGACCGTGAACATCAAAATCCACCTCAATCTCCTCTTTTTGCTAGCGACTTCCATTCTGCTGCACACGCAGCTGGTGACAATGTGATCCAGCACCGAGTGTGACAGCAGAATGGGATCTGATACTTTCAGGGAATCATAGAATCCCAGACTGGTTTGGGTTGGAAGGACCTTAAAGCCCATATTGTTCCACCCCCTGCCATGGGCAGGGACACCTTCCACTAGCCCAGGTTGCTCCAAGTCCCATCCAACCTGGCCTGGAACACTCCCAGGGATGGGGAGACCACAACCTTTCAAGTAAAGCTGTTTGACTGCTCATCCCACCCCCACAGGCAGGAGGAGACATGGGAGGTGGGTCTGGATCCTCTCCTGTGCTCTGAGGGTCTCCCTGTGACTGCAGAGAGAAGATATAGCTGGTGTGGCTGCAGTTTGCCTGACTTGGGGAGCTCAGCCAACAAGCAGTTTCTGTTCTAGCAGGTATTCCTAGGTATTCTTCTCAAACCCACACCTAAATGCCAGTGACACTGGCCTGCAGCCCCTCGAGGTCCCAAAGCCCAGACCCCTGCTCTAGCATATTCACACACAACTCTGCCTGATATAAACTCAGCAAACCAACCCACCCACCCCCAATTTCCCCATGTAACAGGCTCACCTGTCACCATTGGCAGATATGGCATCAAACTTGGCTTTCTTCTTTGGGATTTCATTCTGAATGGAAGAGGTGGATAAGGTTTTCTGGCTAGAAAAGAGGAGGAAATTGTATGTCAGAACCTGAATGACTTTCAGTCTAAGACAGAGAGGCAGATAAATATTCCCACCCACTTTGATCCTATTAAAACAATATTTCCTAGCACAAGGAGAGATGATAAAAAATTCATTCCTTGAAGAGTAGCTGGAGACTAAAAATAAACAGAAAACAAAGTGTCAGTCAGAGCAGCACGTGGGTGAACAACTCCTGCTTCAAATCTGCATTTCCATCATCACATTTTACAAATGCAATTTCACTTTCACTGTGTCCAAGTTCAGCAAGTTGGATCCACTGGGAAGCAGAAAGCTCAGTGAGGTTTGCAAACAGGCAATGCCTGAGTTAGCCAGAGCCTGCTGAAGTCAGACACTGCCCAAACCCCTCAGCAGGGTTACCTGTTATAGTGGCTGCTGCTGCTGAGCCTACTGAACTGTTCCTTCTCCTGCAGACTGGCCCGGGAAGAGCTGCTCAAGTGTTTGCACTGCTCTTTGGTCTTCTGCAGAACACGTTTATAGGACAAGGTGCACAACCAGCACAGCAGCTTTCCATCCACCTGGAAGGGGAGACAGAAGTTTTGGTCATCTCTTCCTGCCCACAAAGCAAATACAGAAGACCAGAAGAACCTTCAGGCCTTGAATACTTCAGGGATGGAGCAGCCACAGCTTTTCTGGGCAACCTGTGCCAGTGCCTCAGTGCCCTCACACTGGGAATTCCTTCCCATGTGCACAACCAGCACAGCAGCTTTCCATCCACCTGGAAGGGGAGACAGAAGTTTTGGTCATCTCTTCCTGCCCACAAAGCAAATACAGAAGACCAGAAGAACCTTCAGGCCTTGAATACTTCAGGGATGGAGCAGCCACAGCTTTTCTGGGCAACCTGTGCCAGTGCCTCAGTGCCCTCACACTGGGAATTCCTTCCCATTATCCCACCTAACCCTGCCCTCTGGCAAAGCCATTCCATTCCCCCTTGTCTCGTCAGAAATGGTGAGGAAGATGTGAAGGAGATGGACAGAGGATCCCTGTGATCAGCTCCCTTCCCTTTCCAGCCTCCTGTGACAGGGACACTGACCTTCTTCCTGTCATCCTTCCTGTCGAAGGCACACTGCTGCTCTGGGCAACCTGTGCCAGTGCCTCAGTGCCCTCACACTGGGAATTCCTTCCCATTATCCCACCTAACCCTGCCCTCTGGCAGTTGGAAGCCATTCCCCCTTGTCTCGTCAGAAATGGTGAGGAAGATGTGAAGGAGATGGACAGAGGATCCCTGTGATCAGCTCCCTTCCCTTTCCAGCCTCCTGTGACAGGGACACTGACCTTCTTCCTGTCATCCTTCCTGTCGAAGGCACACTGCTGCTTGCACTGCTCACACGAGTGAGGAGGTCCATACTTCTTCTCCGAGTTGGTGCAACGCTGGCACTTGTTTCCAATAAATGCTGCTATGATGTTGCAGTACTGGCAAGGTTTGGGCTGTGAAAAACAAGAACAACTGATACAGCAGTGCCTTCTAACTACATTCATTACCTCTTTCCCCTTCTCCCCATCACTTCAGACTTTTATTTCTTCATTCCAAGCACTGATCCAGGAGACCTAACTCCATTTGGACCCCTGGTCTGCAGCTAAGTGTATTTAGCCATGGAACCATTTATCAAGTGCTGTGAAATCTTTAGAAAGATGTCTAACACCAAAATAGAAACAACCAAAAATCTCTATTTGAGATTTCAGACAAGCAGGAAATAATGATTTATCACAGCTTCCTGCAGCAATCTCAGTCTGTATAAGCCACAGTCTTGTTTCTGCTGGTATTGAACACATCATTTCCTGGCCTCAAACGATGCAGAGCTGCTCTTTTCTGGGCTAAAAGAAGAGGAAAAAGTCAAAGCTTCACGCTTGAGGGACTTGTGTTATTGATCAGTCATGCTCTTACAACAGAGCCAGTCCATACTCTGGGATT